CAAGGTCCCACAGCAAGCAAAGGGCCAGATTCAAAGCTAAGCCTGGACTCCTCCCTCCCTGACTTCCACAAAACACTCACGCTTGAGATTTTCTTTCTGCTTTTGCTTTCTCCTCTTTTTCTTTCTGATTTGAGGTCAAAGCCTGTCCTTATCCCAGGAAATGAAACCAAAGCTTTGCTGACAGGAATGGATCCAAAAGACCCAGCTAATGTTAGAAAACACCCGCAGAGCTGCCATCAGCCCTGTTTTTGAGGCCATAGCAAAGCTGGGGATCACTGTGAAAGAAGAGGATGGACATTTCTCTTATCTTTGCCTTCACCTGCTAAGCAGACACGGTTTTAGGGCTAGATGCCGAGTTGTGGGCTCTAAGGAGCTAGATGTTCTGGCACCTACGCAAGTGCGTGAAGAACTTTCCTGCCAAAGGGGGTTGGGGAAGTGGTGAGAAGCTGGAGGAGGAAGGGCACCAGCCACATACACCAGGGCTAGCGGGTTCGAACCCAGTCCAGGCCTGCCACGGGCTCTGTGTCTGTAAGGATGGGTATGATGAGTGAAGAGGGGTTCAGGGTGGCCATTCTAACGTCCAGGGTAGGGCCACAGGCAATATGCATGGGTGGGAAGGAAAAGAGGATGAAAATTTCTTGGGAGTCTCCCTTTTATCCTCTTCTCTTCTCTATTTTTCTGGCCTCCCAGCCTGGGCATTCATTCTGTATCCGATTCTCAAAGGCTTCCCTGTTAGCTGAAGAGCCAAAGGAAGGTTGCTGGGAGAACAGGTTGTAAATATACAACCATCAAACAGGAAAAGTCTGCATACAGGGACAGTCACTCAAAGGAAAGCAGAGCTAAAACACCATGGTAATGTCATTTGAGCCTTTGGATCTAGCCATGCCTGAAGCCCTTGCTTTAAATTAAGGAGATCAAAAATTCGCATTTTTTTCTAGACACAGTGGCTCATACCTGTAATCTCAGCACTTTCAGAGGCCAAGGCAGGAAGATCATTTGAGGCCATGAGTTTGAGATCAGCCTGGTCAATGGCAAGACCCTGTCTCTACCAAAAAAAAAAAAAAA